AGGTTAGCCATTAAAGGTTGAACTTTCTGCAATAATCAATGGCTAACATGGATAATAATCAATGGCTAATCCATGGCTAACATGGATAATAATCAATGGCTAATCCATGGCTAACATGGATAATAATCAATGGCTAATCCATGGCTAACATGGATAATAATCAATGGCTAACATGGATAATAATCAATAGCTAATCCATGGCTAACATGGATAATAATCAATGGCTAATCCATGGCTAACATGGATAATAATCAATGGCTAATCCATGGCTAACATGGATAATAATCAATGTCAAATCCATGGCTAACATGGATAATAATCAATGGCTAATCCATGGCTAACATGGATAATAATCAATGGCTAATCCATGGCTAACATGGATAATAATCAATGGCTAATCCATGGCTAACATGGATAATAATCAATGGCTAATCCATGGCTAACATGGATAATAATGGGCAGCACAGTGGCTAAATGGTTAGCACTTCCCCCTGGCAGTACTAGGCTCGTTTGTTCAAATCCCAGCCACAGCACCTCCTGCCTGGAGTTTACATGTTCTCCCTGTGCATGCATGGGTTTCCTCCAGGTACTCTGGTTTCCTCCCACACTCCAAAGGTAGGTGAATTAGCTCCTGTCTAAATTGGCCCTAGTATGTGTATGAATGTAAGTTAGGGACCTTAGATTGTATGCCCCTTGAGGGTTAGGGACTGATGTGAATGTACAATATATATGTAAAGTGCTGCGTAAATTGAAGGCGCTATATAAGTACCTGAAATAAATAAAAAGCCAAAAACAGCCGCTGTAAAAAACGTCCCGTGTGCATGAGGACTACATAGTAAACTCTTGTTCCCTCCTTATCTCGGCACTACAGCCTTGTAGGGGGATGGTATGTAAGGAAATAGGGAGATTGATGTGACTGTACAATATATATGTAAAGAGCTGTGTAAATTAACAGTGCTATATAAGTACCTGAAATAAAATAATAATCAATGGCTAACATGGATAATAATCAATCAATGGATAATAATCAATCAATGGCTAACATGGATAATAATCAATGGCTAAAATGGTCTGTCTTCAGCAGAGAAAGGGTTACTAGAGGAGGGTGGATCTCACAGGGAGGTTGGATCTCACCAGGAGGTTGGATTTCACAAGGAGGGAAGACTTCCCTTTACATGACAAAGCATCCAAAGAGCCTCTTTCATCACCAATGTATAAGAGGGAAGCCCCAAGCTTGTATCACCAGTTAATGTCCTTCTCCAAAAATGGCTTATGCTGACCTGAGAGACAAGCTGATGTGTATCATCTGCTCAAACTTTTATTCAGATCCTGCATCGCTGAAATGTGGACATAGCTTCTGCCGGGACTGTATCGTGACTGCTCTGGATACACAGGAGGGGTCTGGATTTTATGCCTGTCCGGAGTGCAAAAAGCGGTATACGCAGCGCCCTACGTTGGAGAAGAATAGAAAGCTGTGTAACATCGTGGAGTGTTTCTTATCCTCTCCCCAGAAGGAAATAGAGGTCTTCTGTACGTACTGCGATTCTCCTACACCAGCTATTAGAACGTGTCTGTTATGTGAGGCCTCGTTTTGTGAAAAGCACTTGAGCAACCACAGCAGGTCAGCTCACCATATTTTAATCGAACCCACGGCGTCAGTGAGAGAGAGACAATGCTCCATACATCAAGAGATACTGAAATATTACTGTACAGAGGACAGTGACTGTATCTGCATGTCCTGCTGGGTGGCTGGAGAACATAGAGGACACCATGTGGAACTTCTGAACGAGGCCTCTGAGAAGATGAAGGAGAAACTGAGAGAGTCTATAAATATAATGGACTCCGAGAGACAGGAGATCCAGGGGAGAATCTGCAATCTGGACAGTCACAAGACACAAGAGGACATGAAAAACATTGCTGTTTTCTGGGAGAGTCACTGAGCTGTTTAGAGACCTCAGGAGACATCTGGACGATCTAGAGAAGAGAGTCCAGATAGAGACATCCAGACAGAATGAGAAGATCTCACTTTCGGTCTCTTATCTGATTCAGCAGTTGGAGGAACATAAAGACGTGCTGTCCATTAGGATTGATCAGAGCAAAGAACTGTGTGACATCGAAGACTCATTAATGTTCTTGAAAAAGGCCCCTAGCAGAAAGGACATTTTCTCAGGAACAGATAATACAACCAACGATGCCAGAACTGCTGGATGTATAATTGAGGAAATTATCTCAGAGATGCTACAGAAAGGACTTTGCAGCTTTACTCAATGTGTAAAGGATCTGATAACGAAGGGACAATTTTCTTTGATGAAGAAATCTGGCGTTGTACTGGATGTAAGTACAGCTCACAAAACCCTTAGAATATCGGAGAAACAAAAGCGAGCCTCTAATACTGATACTGATGTGGACAGGCCTGATGGTCTATGGAGGCTTAAATGCTTTCAAGTGTTAAGTGTGCAAAAGTTTACATCCGGGACACATTATTGGGAGGTGGATGTGATGGAAGCAGAAGAATGGCTGATAGGGGTGGTCACTGCAAGCACAGAGGGAAACATTCCAGGAACTGAAGTTTTAACTGGCTATGATAACAAATCATGGACTCTGAGCCAAATAGCTTCAAAGCTTCATTTCCGTCACGGGGACACCTCAACAAACATAGACTCCGAATCTTCCCTGAAGACTGTTGGGATCTATTTGGAGTATGAGGCTGGCCGCCTGTCCTTCTTCCAGCTGTGTGACCCCATCAGACACCTCCACACCTTCACCACCACCTTCACTGAGCCCCTCCATGCTGCTTTCTATGTTTTTCCAAAAAGCTCCATCAGAATTATAACTTAGAAAGGTAGACCAGACATATAGGATGGAAGAACTATACCATGTAGAGGAGGACAAAATGGAGGGTTTTCCTGAGAAATGAAAAAAAGTGGGAGGAGTTTAAGAAGGTCAAATTAATTGAAATTGTATAGGAAAGGAAAACATTCTATGAATGTCCTAGGACTCTGAAAGAAAGAGAAAAGGGGGTGGGATAGGGAGGGGGGGAAGGAGGAGTTTTTGTATTTTTTTATATGTGGGGTGAAAATAATGGAATAAGCTATGTTGAAATTTGAACTGTTGGAAAAGATAAATGGTAAAAGCTTAATAAAATATTAATGGAAAAAAAGAATTATAACTTAGAGGTAAAAAAAATTTATTTTTGTATTGTATTTGCAGATTAAAAAAAAAAAGCGCAATAGCAGAAAAAAAGACTCAAGTGGTCTATCGAGTCCATCCCTTTTTTTTTTTTTTTTTTTTTTTTTTTAATTTATATGTTTTGGTTTTTTTTTTTTCTACTTTTCAAGTTTTTTTAAGTTACTGTGGAAAGTAATTTCCTAATTTTACAATATATTTATAGCTAAAACTTTTTATTTTTTCAGTTTTTAATAGAGAAGGAAAGGTTTGTAACCCCTGTCAAGTGTCATTGCTGTCTGTGTCTCAGATATTTACTGTAGAATTCACCATCTTAGATTGTAAGCTCCAGGGATCAGGCCCTTCTATCCCTCTTGTATTGAAGTTTATTGTTGCTGTATTGTCTCCCGTTTATATTGTAAAGTGCTGAGCAAACTGTTGGCGCCATATAAATCCTGTATAATAGTAATAATCTTTAGTTATCTTGGTGACGGAGACAGAAGATGATGGGAAATCCAATATGTTAAACGTTGTAACCAGAACAAAAGTCAAGGGTACATTTTCCAATAGGGGTACTTGTTCCAGAGACAACTCCTTGGAATTCCCCTCATTTTGGAGAGATCGCCTCACCCTGTGTTCACATCAGTGCGGTAAATCCCATGTGATTCGCACAGGAACCGCACCGCCTTCCTATACAAATCACCAAAAAAGGGTCCTGAACATTTTGGGTGCCGTGCGATTAGAGACATACAAAATGTATAGCTCTAATCACACCGCACCCACACCAAAAATGTGCAGGACCCTTTTTTTGATCCGCACTAGAATCGGATCGCATGGGTATTCACACCTATGTGATCCGATTCTGCACACCGTACCGCATTTTGCAGACTGCTTTCGGGGTGTTTTTAACTTAATATAAGCACCCGCAGCAGTTCGCATGAATGGGGTGCGATTCTGATGTGGTGCGGAATTCGTACAGAAAACGCTGCAAATTCCGCACCACATCAGTGTGAATCCGGGCTAAATGTTGCATTTCCAGGAAGGGAAGTGAAGGACAATCTCTCCAAATGAATTACAGCAGCAAAAAAACATTAACAAATGTTTTTCATCCCTCTCTATACTATTAAAAACTTGCAAAAAGTTTTTTCTTCCTATAAATACACATTTAGTTATATTCAACCCTTCTATGTGCCATTTAACGTAGCAAAAAAAAAAAGTTGGTTATACAGACACTGGCAGCACAGTGGCTAAATGGTTAGCACTTCCACCTGGCAGTACTAGGGTCATTGGTTCGAATCCCAACCACAGCACCACCTGCCTGGAGTTTGCATGTTCTCCCTGTGCCTGCGTGGGTTTCCTCCAGTTTCCTCCCACACTTCAAAGACATGCTGGTAGGTGAATTGGCTCCTGTCTAGTTTGGCCCTAGTATGTGTATGTATGAATGTGAGTTAGGGACCTTAGATTGTACACCCCTTGAGGGTTAGGGACTGATGTGAATGTACAATATACTGTATATGTAAAGTGTTGTGTAAATTGATGGTGTTACATGAGTACTTGTAATAAATAATAAAACACTTACCATGGTTATGAATATTAAGTACTTGCCAAATCAATGATGACTTCAAGGAGAGAGTATGTTTCCTTCCTTTTGTATTTTTTATAATACCCTTCGTATTGGTAATGATTATCCATGTTCTGTATGTTTCCTCTCTGTATCAGAATTGTCTACAAATGCTGATCTTCTGCCAATAAACCTTTCTGCTTTCTGAAAGAAGTGTGTGTCTTGTTATCTGTATATTATATATTCTCTAAGCCAGGGGTGGACTGACAACTCCATGGGGCCCCCGGGCAATAAGGGATCATGGGGCCCCTGTGTCCTTGCCCAAACTCAAAAAAAGCCTATGAAAATGTACCAGGGGCATCTCATGGGGTCCCCTACTGACCCCGGGCTCTCGGGCGGTGCCCGAGTTTCCAAATGGTCAGTCCGCCCCTGCTCTATCCCTAGATTCACATCTGTGCGGGTGCCGCCGCTGTGGATCCACATGAAAATCCATGCAGCCGCACAGAGAAATGCGAACGCGCGGGCGGGTGCCATTAGTTCTAATGTCACGCCTCCCACACTGGAAACCGCAACTGTACTGGGAACCGAGGTTCCTGTGTGGGCTGAGTTTTCGGAAGAAGTGCAGGGACTTCTCTGCGTGTCACGGGAGTCCGTTCAAATGAATGGGCTCTTGTGCCCACGCAAAACGCAGCCCGCACGGCCGCATATATGTGAACCGGGGGTAACACAGTACAGCAGGTGTCCCAAAAGCTGCAAGGTGGACACGTATTTCAGTTAAAGGGCAGCGCAGTGGCTAAGTGGTTAGCACGTCCGCTTTGCAGCATTCGGGTCTCTATACGATTAAAAACTTGCAAAATGTTTTTACTTCCTATAAATACACATTTAGTTATATTCAACCCTTCTATGCGCTATTTAACGTAGCAAATCAAAAAATTTTGGTTATATAGACACTGGCAGCACAGTGGCTAAATGGTTAACACTTCCACCTGGCAGTACTCGGGTCATTGGTTTGAATCCCAACCACGGCACCACCTGCCTGGAGTTTGCATTTCTTCCTGTGCCTGCGTGGGTTTCCTCCGGGTACTCTGGTTTCCTCCCACACTCCAAAGACATGCTGGTAGGATAATTGGCTCCTGTCTAATTTGGCCCTAGTATGTGAATGTGAGTTCGGGACCTTAGATTGTACGCCCCTTGAGGGTTAGGGACTGATGGGAATGTACAATACATATGTAAAGTGCTGCGTACATTGACATCGCTATATAAGTACCTGAAATAAATAATAAGTGTATCTCCGGCTATTTTTTTTTTTTTTTTTTTTTGTAGGATATCATAAGGACTGGTTAGGACATCGGTCAGGTTAACCAATTTTTCTGCTTTCTAGGCAGCAGTAAAGGCCCCCCACCAACGGTCAAAGTCCAGAATGATGTTTTAGCCCTCATGCAGACGGGACGGTTTGATAACGCTGGTAATGATAGCTGTGTAAAGTCATGTTAAAAAAACACACAAGTTTTTCAGCGTTTAGTGGCGTTTTTTTCCGCATTTGCTTTTTTTTTAGGGTTTTTTCAGTCAAACAAAGTCCAAAAACGCTGGTTTTTGGCATTTTACCGCATTTTTTTCAACGTTTAGAGCAATTTTACAGCTAAAAAAACTCCTCTAGAAGGCCACTAGTCCAGCCAAAAAAATGTTGATTCCAGTCTGTGTGTTCATGAGGACCTATTCTGTAGAAGAAAGCCAATGGGGTAGGTTTACTTAAACCATGCATAGCTGCATCGGTAGCCAATCAGCTTCCAGGGTCACCTTGTTTAACCCCTTGCCCTCCAAAGGATTTACATTTCCCACCTTCCAGGCCAGGCCATTTTTTGCAATACAGCGCTGCTTTCCTTTAACTGACAATTGCGCGGTCATGCAACGCTGCACCCAAATTGAATTTACATCCTTTTTATTTCCCACAAATGGAGCGTTTTTTCGGTGGTATTTGATCGCCTGTGCGTTTGTGTTTTTTTTTTTTGCGCTATAAAAAAAACCTGACAATTTTGAGAGACCATATTTATTACTTTTTGCTAATTAAACATGTCCAATACAAATTTTTGTTCTGCTCCATGTCTTTGCTAAAAAAAAAAAATCCCAATACATGTAATTGGTTTATGTGAAAGTGATGGCAGCGATCAGTGACTTATAGTGGGACTGTGGCAGTTATTCTGACACTGGGGGGAACTGACTTGGTGTCACTGATATCCCCAGTGACACCAATACAGTGATCAGTGTGGAGGGGGAAATTACTGGAACCAATCCCCTGTATGTCTCTCTGCAGCAGCTAAAAGCTGGCTTCTTCTCTGGCTTTCAGCTGCTGCAGAGAGAGCCATAAAGGGGATCCATTACATTGATACCCCCCCCCCATCACCCTCCCTGTGCACCATATGTTTCTGCTAGCTGTCCAGGCCCCCTGTGTGCCCCACCCCCACAGAGCTGTCAGCTTTTCTCCTCTCCTTTCTCAAAAGGATTCTTCAGGTTGCAGAGTGGGGGAAGGGTCCGGTAAATCTGTCACAATTACCAGCCCCTTCCTTCAAGTAATTCTCATACTAATAAAACAGAATAGACAGAATATTGCTAATGCAGGCCATAGACGGTTCATTTATCGGCCGATTTTTCTTCTGAAAAACAAAACATTGGTCGTTCTGTTGCCACCAATGATTTCAAAAATCGTCCGTTTTTCACAAATTTTCCAGCATGACCGATAAAAGAAATGAGGAGGAACCGCAAAAAACGGCTGATGCCATTGCCCCACTAACAGTGCGAAAATCGGCCGATGCCATTGCCCCACTAACAATGCGAAAATCGGCCGATGCCATTGCCCCGCTAACAGTGCGAAAATCGGCCGATGCCATTGCCCCACTAACAGTGCGAAAATCGGCCGATGCCATTGCCCCACTAACAGTGCGAAAATCGGCCGATGCCATTGCCCCGCTAACAGTGCGAAAATCGGCCGATGCCATTGCCCCGCTAACAGTGCGAAAATCGGCGGTGCGAAAATCGGCCGATGCCATTGCCCCGCTAACAGTGCGAAAATCGGCCGATGCCATTGCCCCGCTAACAGTGTGAAAATCGGCCGATGCCATTGCCCCACTAACAGTGTGAAAATCGGCCGATGCCATTGCCCCACTAACAGTGCGAAAATCGGCCGATGCCATTGCCCCACTAACAGTGCGAAAATCGGCCGATGCCATTGCCCCACTAACAGAGCGAAAATCGGCTGATTATTCTTTCAGATGAAAAATTGACCGATAAACGAACCATCTATGGTCTTCATAAGGGCATCAACATGATTTCCCCAAAAAATTACAAAGTATAGAACATCCAGAATGATAGGTTTCATTATTGGGGTAACCAGGTGACCCAGAAGATCAATGCTCCCATATAATATACATACAGTGCCATGAACACAATAAAGTGGTTTGAAACCAGGGGTGGACTGACAACTCATGGGGCCCCCGGGCAATAGGGGATCATGGGGCCCCTGTGTCCTTGCCCAAACTCAAAAAAGCCTATGAAAAAGGTACCAGGGGCATCTCATGGGGCCCCCTACTGACCCCGGGCCCTCGGGCAGTGCCCGAGTTTCCAAATGGTCAGTCCGCCCCTGTTTGAAACAAATCTGTTTTAAAACAATATATTCATACACACAAAAAACAAAAGGCAAAAAACAAACCTATGCCACTGATTACCACTACAATATAAATTTTTCTTAACTATCCCATTGGGTATTTACTAAGGAATCTTGCTAGAGGTGCGTTTGGCATAAAAATGTGGTACCATTATGTATCCTCAGCTATGGCTGGACAGGATGATCATCTGTTTACATCCATTACTGTCCGCGTCCGTAAACATCTGTTTTTTTGAATGGAAGAAAACCCTATTTTTCTTCGGTCAAAACCCCCCTCAGAATGGGAAAAAAAAACAGATGTAAATGGACAACATGGATATAAATGGATGTAAATGGACAACACGGATGTAAATGGACAACACAGATGTAAACGGGTTAAAATGGATGTAAATGGACAAAAGCGGATGTAAGCGGACAACAACGAACAAAACAGATGTAAATGGACAAAAAAATAGATGTACATGGATAAAAAAACGGATGTAAACAGACCGTAAACTGATGTAAACAGACCGTAAACTGATGTAAACGGATGAAAAACTGATGTGAACGGATGAAAAACAGATGTGAACGGATGAAAAACAGATGAAAAAAATGGATGTAAACTGATAAAGGATGAAAATCGGATGTAAACTGGTAAATGATGAAAATTGGATGTAAACTGAAAAAAAAATGGATGTAAACGGACCAAAAACAGATGTAAACGGATGACAAACAGATGAAACAAACGGATGTAAACTGATAAAGGATGAAAATTGCATGTAAACTGAAAGAATGAAAAACAGATGTAAACTGATAAAAAAAAGATGTGAACGGATGAAAAACAGCTGAAAAAAAAATGGATGTAAATTGATGAAAAAGTGATGTGAACTGCTCTGTTTTTTCTTAGAAAAGTGCGTTTGGCATAAAAATGCGGTACGTTTATACATTCTGTATCCTCGGATATGGTCGGACTCCATTGAATTACAATGAAAATAGTCTGGAGAGGGTTTTAAAACCGGCATGAAGGGGTTAAAGTGTGGAAAGAAACCAAAGTACCCGCAAGGCTCCATTCACACTAAGCTGATCGTTTTTTCAAGCTTTTTTTTTTTTTTTCAGGCATCATTGAGCGTTTTTTTGAGCAGATATGCAAATATAGATAAATAGGCATTTTTTTCAGGCATTTTTCATTTAGACATTTTTGCTGTAGCCAATCGAAATAGCTGCTGTTTGTGCTGAAAACGCTTTAAAAACCGCTCATTCCCATTGTGCAGGAGTTTTCCATTCAAGTCTATGGGGAAAAAACGCTCAGATCTGCCTGAAAAGTAGCGCAAGTTCTTTTTTGAGCTGCAGGCGGTTTTCTACAGGCGACAGAACGCTGAAATGTGAATTGGGGGGCATTGGAGATCTAATCTAATGAATGTCAGTGTCTTAACATACATGATTTGTGGCGGAGCGATTTCAAAAGTAGTTCTTGTGTTACTTTTTCTGCGGTTGGTTGAGATTTCACATATAGACTACAATAGAAATCGCAATGGAAAACGCAAGAAATCGTTGGGAAATCTTCAGAAAACGCGGCAAACAAAACGCATCCAGTGTGAACCGAGCTTAACATGATTTCCTATGGGACAGGTTCACATCTCTCTGTGTTTTCACGCGGTGCGTTTTTTTCGGCACTTTTTTTTCAAACTCAAGACGGTGCGTTTTTTGTTCTACAGACTTCAATGGAGACGCTGCAGAAAAGTAGGTAGTGCATTTTAATCTGCCTAGCAACAAGAAAAAAAATGCAAAACGCACTGCAAAAGGATCAATCACAAACTGCAGGTGTGAACCTAGGGTAATGCGGGCCACAGACGGGTCGTTTATCGGTCTAATTTTCGTCCGCACGAATAATCGACCGATATTCACGCCGTTAGTGGGGCAATGCCGTTGCCCATTTTTTCGTGGATCTTCTCATTTCTTTTTATCGGTCTTGCTGGAAAATCCACGTAAAAACGGCTGTTGATGGCAGCATAGGCAACGACCGATTTTTCGTTTATCGGCCGACCATAGATGGGGAGAAAACCGGACAAAAATGAGTCCAAAAAAAAAAAAAATCTGCCGATTTTTGGATTGTTAGTGGCTAAATTGGTCGGCTGGTTTTCTTGATTTTGACACATTTTTTTAATGGTTCATGTTGGGAAAAAAAAAAACGACCGATTTTCACGGCAATGATGGGCAAATCAGATGATCTTTGTCCCGATTTAAAAAAAAAAAAGCGCATGAGCCGTGACCAAAGAAAAAGAACATCTGTATCTATTTGTATCCATTTCGGATACAGATGTTTCTCTTCGGATACAAATAGATACAATGTTTGCAACCACAATTCTTAGAAATGTCAAATCTATTAGCGGTGTCCCTGCAGAGAGCTCCTCTATGATATTTGACATTTAAAAGTATAAGGGTTGCAACATTGTATCTATTTGTATCCGAAGAGAAACATCTGTATCTGCAATGGATACAAATAGATACAATGTTGCAACTTTTTCTTCTTATTATTCATATTCTATTTCTTCTTCTTTTAAATGTCAAATATAGCAGAGCTCTCTTTTATTAATTGTCGGCCGTAGACGGGACAAAAATCAGCCAACTTTTTTTTTACCAATGGTGGGAACGTCGGCTGATTGAACAACCAATTTTTTTGTTTTTCTAAAAAAAAAAAAAAAAAAAAAAAAAAAAAAGGCTGGTTTTCTCCTGTCTATGGCCTGCATTAGGCTGACCTGTGAGGACCCCCATTGTATTCTTTAGTCTCCAGGTGATCTCATTAACATCCAACCCCAGATAAAGATCTGGTCTAACCCCCACCCAAGCCAGGCGTGGCCCTCCAGAATCCATATGTGCAGGAAGTACAGGACCGCTCACACCCCCAGGGGCTGAAACAGGTTTTCCCTGAAGGTCTGGTAATGTAGTAGAGCCGCCAGGATCAGCATTTCTGCACCTGGAATCCGATCCAATTCCAACATTTTGTTTGAAATGCCAACAAAGGGGCAGTTTTTCATTTTGAAGTCCCTGAAGTTTAGCAATCCTTTCCTTACAAAAGCAAACCATTGAAGTGATTTATATTGGACAGACAGGAATTCTGTTACATTGTTTCTAAACTCCGAAACCAAACCATCCGCCTTCCTCTCAATCCTGAGTTTTATGAAATGTAAGAAATGTATCATTTATATACAGAAACATTGATATCTTTGAACACAACCTCTTCTGCCTTCTCAGATCGTGTAGTCTAGGTTCACACCTATGCGTTTTCTGGAAACGCACAGCGGTCCAGTTCAGGGCTGGTTCACACTGCCGCGATTTCAGGTGCGATTTGGGGATTGAAATCGGATCTAATGAATGTCAGTGTCTTAAAACACGCAAATGCGGCGGCGCAATTTCAAAAGTAGTTCTTGTATTACTTCTGCGGTTGGTTGCGATTTCATACATTGACCACAATAGAAATCACAATGGAAAACGCAAGAAATTGTTGGGAAATCTTCAGAAAATACGGCAAACAAAACGTGCGATTTTAAATTGCATCCAGTGTGAACCGAGCCGAACATGATTTCCTATGGGATGCGTTCACATCTCTGCGTTTTAACCCGGTGGGTTTTTTTGGAAAGGGTCAGGGACTTTTTTTTTTACACAAAAAGCTGCATTTTTGGTTCTATAGACTTCAATGGAAATGCAGCAGAAAAGCATGTATTGCGTTATTGATGCTTTTTGCATTTCAATGCTGCCTAGCAACAAGAAATGGTAAATAAAAAAAAAAAAAACCCAAAAAACTTCCTTCTCAGATCATGTAGTCTAGGTTCACACCTATGCGTTTTCCGGAAACGCACAGTGGTACATTTAAGGGCTGGTTCCCACCGCCATGATTTCAGGTGCGATTTGGGGATTGTAATTGGATCTAATGAATGTCAGTGTCTTAACACACGCAATTTGCTGCGGCGCGACTTCAAAAGTAGTTCTTGTATTCCTTTTTCTGTGGTTGGTTGGGATTTCACATATAGACAATAGAAATTGCACTGCAAAACGCAATAAATCGTTGGGAAATCTTCAGAAAATACAGCAAACAAAACGTGCGATTTTAAATCACATCCAGTGTGAATCGAGCCTAATATGATTTCCTATGGGACGCGTTCAAATCTCTGCGTTTTCACCCCGTGCGTTTTTTGGAAAGGGACTTTTGCGGCAGAGCGATTTCAAAAGTAGTTCTTGTATTCCTTTATCTGCAGTTTGCTGCGCTTTCACATATAGACTACAATAGAAATTGCACTGCAAAGCACAATGGAAAACGCAAGAAATCGTTGGGAAATCTTCAGAAAATGCGGCAAACAAAACATGCGATTTTTCCATCGCATCCAGGGTGAACCGAGCCGAACATGATTGCCTATGAGAAACCTTCACATCTCTGCGTTTTCACCCGGTGCTTTTTGTGGAAAGGGTCAGACTTTTTTTTTTTTTTTACACAAAAAGTTGTGTTTTTGGTTCTATATACTTCAATAGAAATCCTGCAGAAAAGCATGTATTGTGTTTTTGATGCGTTTTTTAATGCTGCCTAGCAACAAGAAAAATTTAAAAAAATGAAAAATAAACCCAAAAAACTTCCTTCTCAGATCATTTAGTCTCTAGGTTCACACCTATGCGTTTTCTGGAAACGTACAGCGGTCCACTTAAGGGCTGGTTCACACCGCCACAATTTCATGTGCGATTTGGGGATTGAAATTGGATCTAATGAATGTCAGTGTCTTAATGCACGCGGTTTGCTGCATCACGATTTCAAAAGTAGTTCTTGTATTCCTTTTTCTGCGGTTAGCTGCGATTTCACATATAGACTACACTAGAAATTGCACTGCAAAATGCAATAAATCGTTGGGAAATCTTCAGAAAATGCGGCAAACAAAACGTGCGATTTTTAAATCGCATCCAGTGTGAACCGAGCCTAACATGATTTCCTATGGGACGCATTCACGTCTCTGCGT